TCGTTGCCACCACTATACCAATCTCATTGGGGGTCTTCCTCTTTTTCTCTGACCTTCCACTTTACCAAACATGATATCCTTCTCCAGGGACTGGTCCCTCATAATAATACGTCCAAAGTATGAGAGATGAAGTCTGGCCATCCTGGCTTCCAAAGAGCCTCATGGCTGTACTACTTCCAACACAGGATGGTTTGTTCTTTGGGAAGTTCATGATACTTTTCATATTCTCCTTCAACACCATAGCTCAAATGCATCAATTCTTCGATGGTCTTCCTTATTCATTGTTCAACTTTCACACACATATAAGGTTATTGAAAATGTCATAGCTTGGCTCAGGTGTACCTTAGTCCTCAGACTGACACCTTTGCTCTTGCCTTATGCAATACATTGCTTGATTTCTTGACTGATGCTTCCATGAGTGTTGATGATTGATGAAAACAAAATGAAGTCTTTGTCAACTAAAATCTTATTTCCATTTATATGGATATTGTTTATTGCTCCAGTTGTGAGGATTTTTGTCTTCTTTACATTGAGGTGCAGTCTATACTGAAGGTCTTCGATCTTCATAAGTGTTTTAAGTCATCTTTACTTTCAGCAAGCAATGTTGTATCATCTAGATACTGCAGATTGTTAATGATTCTGCCAATGACGTCTACATTCCGTTCAGTCACTTCTTGTTGAATGGACACAAATACAGATCTCTTCCAGTCAGTGGGCATAGATGAGTGAATGACTCTACTGCTTCATCATTTTTTGAAAGATTTCCATTTGTATTTCATCAATTCTCAGAGTCTTGTTCTTTGCCAATGCCTTCAATGCATCTTGGACTTCTTCCTTCAGTATCATTGGCTTTTGCTCATGTGCTACCTCTTGAAATGGTTGAATACCAATGGTTGGTACAGTGACTCTGTGTACTCTTTCCATTTTTTTTTTTTTAATGTTTTCTGCATCATTCAATATTTTGCCCATAGAGTCTTTCAATATTGCAAGTCAAAGCTTGAAATTTTTTCTTCATTTTCCTCAGCTTATGAAATGCTAAGCATGTTCTTCCCTTTTGGTTTTATAACTCCAGGTTTTGTACATTTTGTTATAATATTTGACTTTGTCTTCTCAAGCTTTGACATTTTCTATTTAGCTGTTTTACCTCCTCATTTCTTCCAGTTGTTTTAGCATCTCCACACTGGAGAGTAAGTTAGAGAGTCCCTTCTGACATCCATTTAGGTATTTTTCTTCTTTCTTTCTTGACCTTCTGTTTCCTTCCTATAGGATGTTCTTGATGTCATCCTACAACTGTGATGGTCTTTGGTCTTTAGTTTCAAATGCATCAAATCTGTTCTTCAGATGATCTCTAAATTCAGGAGGAATATGTTCAAGGTCTTATTTTGGCTCTTGTGGACTTGTTTTAATTTTCTTCAGCTCAGCCTGAACTTGAATATGAGCAGAGGGTCTGTTCCACAGTCTGCCTCTGGCCCTGTTGGCCTATGATATGGAGCTCTTTCATCATCTCTTTGGACAGATGTAGTCAATTTGATTTCTGTGTATTCCATCTGGTAAGGTACATGTGTATAGTGATCTTTTCAGTTGTGTAAATAGGTATTTGTGATGAAGAATTCAATTGTCTTGAAAAATTCTATCTTGTAACATCCAGCATCGTTTCTATCACCAGTCATATTTTCCAACTACTGATCCTTCCTCTTTCTTTCCACCCTTTTCATTCTAATCACCAATAATTATCAATATATCTTGATTGAATGTTTGATCAATTTGAGACTGAAGAAGTTGACAGAATTCTTCAATTTCATCATCACTGGCTTTAGTGGTTGGTGCACACATTTGAATGATAGTTGTATCAACAGGTCTTCCTTGTAGGCATATGGATATTATCCTATCACAAACTGTGTTGTACTTCAAGACAGATCTTGATATATTCTTTTTGATGATGAATGCAATGCCATTCCTCTTCAATTTGTCATGCCCGGCATAGTAAACCATGTGATTGTCAGATTCAAAATGGCCAATACCAGTCCATTTCTGTTCACTAATGCCTAGAATGTTTGTGTGTTCCATTTCATTTTTGACAGTTTACAATTTTCCTAGATTCATACTTTGTCCATAACATGTTTAGGTTATTCACTGATGTTTACAGCTGTTTCTCTTCATTCTGAATTGTGTCCCATCAGTCGATGAAGGTCCTGAGGACTTTACTCTATTGGTGTCATCATAGTCAACTCTACTTTGAGATGGCTGCTCTTCCCTATTTGTATTTTGGGTGCCTTCCAACCTGAGAGACTCATCTTCAGGCATTATAATCTGATAATATTCTGGTGCTCTTCACCATGTTTCAATAGCCAATATTCTGGTGCTATCTGTAGTGTTCCACTGCTATTCATAAGGTTTTCAGTGACTAAATATTCAGAAGTAGTTCGTCTCTCCTTCTTCCTAGTCTGTCTTCATCTGGAAGCTAATCTGAAACCTGTCCTTAGAATACCAGTGGAATAACTTCCAGAATCACAGCAACTTGCAAGCCCCCACAGTATGAAAAACTGACAGATGAGTGGTGGCTGAAATCTTTAGGATTAACAAATAATTACCAGTCAGCAGTTTAAAGAATATTGTACATGTTGTTACACAATGTAACAACAACATAAATGCAATTGCCTATAAAACACATGCTGTCACTGAATGTTTTTATAAGACTATTGTACCTTTCTCCACAAGCATTTTCAGGAAAGTCAGGCATAGAGTTCAAATTTATGCTATCCTAAGGAATGTATTAAGGAGCTCTGGTAGCGTAGTGGTTACGAATCGTGCTGCTAATCTCACAGTCAGCAGTTCAAAACTACCAGCTGTTCCACAGAAGATGAGGTTTTCCACTCCCGTGAAGATTTATAGCCTCAGAAACCCTATACAGGGTCGCTATGAGTCGGAACCGACTCCACGGCACATAACCACCACCAATGAATGTATTTACATTTTGTTTGCTTTTCAAATTTTTCTTGGATTCACATCTCTTCAGAGAGTGATTAATTTTCAAAACACATCTAACTGAATGCTTACTTATAAGATAAAAATATTTTTTTAACCTTATGATTAAGAAATGTCAACCTAAAAACTATTGCAACTTAGGTCCTTGAACTGACATGTGTATTTCATAAGTTGCTCTTTGGAAGCAAGCCCAGGAATGATAAACTCTGACATTATTATATAGTGTAATATGTATATATATATATAAATATATAGTCTTGATTCAAAAAATATGCATGTTGTTTTTCTTTCCCAGTTTCCCCAATAACTTATTAAGATGATCTTTTCCTTAGGATATGATAAAGTTGAACTCTATGCCTGACTTCTTGAGAATGCATTTAGAGAAAGGTCCACTAGTCTTAAAAAAAAATTCAGCGACAGCATAAAGAGTGTGAGTATACACCAAATGATCTATGATAGGACAAGCAGCTGTCAAACAGGTATCAGTCTGAAGCTGCCCATCATCAAGTGTGGTCACTTTTATGTCTCATGACCAACTTGGTGAGTTTATGCCTAGGGGATGGAAAGTTACTGGAGGCTTGCATACTATTTGAGAAAAATGAATTGATAAATTTAGTTTAAAAGTGAATTTGTGATATAATGTTATATTCTGGCACACGGTGCTCTAGAAAAGTCTGACTTGAGGATCCTGAGAAGTTTCTCTGTCTTCCCTCTCTCCTCACTGGCCACAGTGTTGTAAAGCCATACCTCCGGGTGCAGGTTAAAATTAGTTAATACCATGGTTTTGATGATGACACAAGTCATTGGCTGATACTGAGGTTTCTGGGGTAATATGGTACATCTGACATAATCCTATAGGATGAATACCAGCACCTAACCATTCCTCGCCTGTTCCAACAAGAATTCCCCTGCAAAAAATTTAAAAGCATCCTGCTGTACAACATGATGAACACAATGTCATTGGACTATATATGTGAAGAATGTTAAAATGGTAAGTGTAATGTTATATTGGAGCCCTGGTGTAGTGCTGTGGGTTAATGTGTTGGACTGCAAAATTGGTTTGAAATGCAAAGTCGGAGGTTCAAGTTCGCCAGCTGCTCCTTGGAAACCCTATACAGGGTTGCTATGAGTTGCAACCAATTTGATGACACACAACAACAATATATATATACCACAATTCAAAAAAATCAGCAGTTTAATTCTGCACATAATAAAATGCAAGTATAAAATCACGATGCCCCTTACAATCCTTAAAAAGCAACATGGGATAGTTTTCTAAATACAGCAGTTTAAACCTACATTTAATGATACAGTGCCAAAGCTAGAGGGTGAAATGTTTGAAATACTTCAAAATCCAGAGAAGAATGGAGATCTTTACAAGTAACAGCCCATTCCTGCTTTCCAGGTGAGTAGAAATTACTCTGAATCTGAAACACTGGAGCAAAGAGCACCTTCTCCTCCCACCCCACCCTAATCTACACAAGTGTGGGAAAATGGTGGTGCACTCTTAAATTACTTGTAAATCAAAGTCCCAAAATTGCCTATCCAAATGCTGTCTCCCAGTTTCTTTGTTTTTTTTTTTCTGACTGGAAGAGTAGTATCAACTTAGCTAGCAATCCTCACAGTTTAAGGCCCTTAATATTTCTTTCAAAATCATGTATGTTTCTTCATCCCTCTGGAAAATACAAAATAGGTCACCTCAGGAGGAATGGAAAATATTTACAGTAGAAGATAAAATGCTATGTGATTTTGTTAAGATCCTGTGCTTGTTCATTCAAAAGGCCGCTGCTCCTGATTCAGACTGCCACAGCGGATCTATGTACTGGGGAGAAAAATTTCCTTGACTCAATAATGTGATAATATTAGAAAGCAATTTATTAAAGAGCCTGCTCTCTATCACTGGAATTTGGACGATTCATTGAAATAAGTATTCATTCCAGGTTTTTGGTTCTTTTTTTTCCTTCTTATTTCCTTCTCACAAAATCCATCAGTTCCAATACCTCTTCAGTAAATTGTTAAAAGTATTTTGCCCTTTATCTCTTTGGAAGCAAGCCCAGGAATGAGAAGGCACCAACAGTAGCTGTCACAAACCCAATGGCACTTATTGCTCGGCTGGCCTAGAAGGAACAAGAGACAAACAAAACATAGATCTTACTCTAAAGGCATCTCACAACGTCCTCTGAGCTTGTTTCCTAAGCCAAAGATCCATTTACATGGACAACAGATAAGTTTAAAGTTGCAGTGTAAAATGAAAATTATAGATGAAGAGGAAGAAATGTCTAATTTTTATAAGTTAGCTAAGTATCTAGATACATATAGGTACAGAGTCCTTGTATTTTTATAGCACATGACCATTTATATATTGTCAGTTTGTGGTTTTAGATCACATGACAATGCAGTTCTCATTAGTTATCACAGCAGGCATTGCTCATCCATTTTATAAATCTGAGGCTCAAGGGAAAATATGTCATTTGCCTGAGGTCATACCATCTGGCTACTTGGTGGTTGGTGGTTATGTGCTGTGGAGTTGGTTCCGACTCATAGCCACCCTGGACAGGGTTTCCAAAGCTGTGAATCTTTACGGGAGCAGAAAGCCTCATCTTTCTTCTGCGGAACAGCTGGTAGTTTCTAACTGCTATCCCTGAGGTTAGCAGTCTGATTCATAACCACTACACTACCAGAGCTCCTTATTTGGCTACTTAAGATGGGTCTTATAAACCAAGTGTTTTGCCTCTTCCTTACCCTCAAACACACATCTTGTTTTGGTTGGTTCTATATCAATATCAAAGGAGCTCTGGTAGCGTAGTGGTTACGAATAGGGCTAACCTCAAAGTCGGCCATTCAAAACTACCAGCCATTCCGTGGGAGAAAGATGAGGCTTTCTGTTCCCGTAAAGATTTACAGCCTCAGAAATCCTGTGCAGGGTCACTATGAGTTGGAACTGACTCCACAGTACTTAACAACAACACAATATTAAGATCAGGACTCATGGTGTGACACTGTAAGATTAGCACAGGACTGTGAACCACAAGGTCAGCTGTTCAAACCTACCAGTTGCTCCTTGGAAATCCTATGCAGGGTTTCTATGAGTCAGAACTGACTCAATGGCACTTAGCAACAACAACATATCAAAATGAATATCTTGGTCCATTTACATTATTATTCTCTGGCACTGTAGGATAAGCACCTGACCAATGACCAATGACCATCATCTGCTCCTGGTGTGGTGCTGTGGGTTAACGCACCAGGCTGCAAAGCCATTTGAACTGCAAAGTTGGTGGTTCAAGCTCACCAGCTGCTCCTCGGAAACCCTATACAGGGTCGCTATGGGTCGGAACTGACTCAATAGCGCTTAACAACAACAACAACAACAACAATACCTGCTCTTAGAAACCCTACACTCCTAGGATCACTATGAGTCAGAACTGACTCGTCAGCACAAACCACGAACAATGAAAGAATACCTATCTATTCACAAAATAATTCAGGAAGGTGATCTAGTCTAAATATACATATACTCCTTGATTGGGCAGATACAAGTTCTATTCTGATAAACAAGAGAAGTCAATACTGATGTTAGCTATCATGTCAAAAATTAATACCTTATGTAAGCAAACTAAAATCAATCACTCACAAGTTCAATGTGCAACTAGAAGTTCAGACATTTACACCTTTAAGGGCATTCATCATCTAGATGAGAAGGAAGTTAATGAATATTCATGGCACTCAACAATATTGCCTTCCATCTGCATAGGTCTGAATGCAATTTTGTGACCCAAAGGTCACATTCAGACACTCCAGAGTCATCAAGTATTCAAAAAACAACATTTGGTCTCTGGTATTTAAGAACCAGGCTTTCAGATGAAGCAAACATCTTTCCCAAAGGACTGTGGAGACCATCCCAGGAGCTGGAAAGACTGACCCAGCTCACATGAGCATGCCCTCTGTCCATCCCACTGGCTCCCACCATGGAGTTTGCTTCATTCAGATTACTGCAACATAACACTGCCTTCCTAACTGTAACTACTCTGTTGAAGACAAGGAACAGGCCAAAGGTAGCAGTGTCTGCTCCCAGCAGGTATTCACTCCAGGGGACCATCCTGTGGTCTGTAGGGACCAGACTTATAACTGTGACTTCCTGCCCTCAGCACCCAGGAAGAATGGCAAACAACTCAGCCTTGATAAATCCTATTTCTGTTCATAATTTAGGTTTTATTTATTTGTTGCCAATTTATTTATCTACCCTGTGAAATTAGTGACCACCTAAATTAGTTCCCAAGAGAGAGTCAGAATTAACTGCAGCACAGAGCTAATCATAAGGCATGTGGGGAACCAAGAGGGGCAGGGAGATACAAGACATAGGACAAATTCCCCAAAAGGGCAGAATCAGTAATCAGACAGGGACCAAGGACTGTAAACCAAGCCCTAATACAATGGCAGGCAGATGTTAAGGTCTTTTGGGGAGAAATGAAGCAGGCAATGTGAAAATAAGAAGGTACAGTAGTGTCTTTAAAGAAGGTGTCAATAGCAACAGGGCGCCACCCTGGGAAAGTGTCAGGATCCTGAGAGTACGGTGTAGATGCAGGCCTGACTCTGTCTTTCAGCCACTAGAAACCCAAGATGTTGGGGAAATCCCATATATCCAAGAGGCCTTGGATGGGAACAGAGATGCTGATCCTAAATCAAAATCCACTGAGAATTCACAAGGCAGACACCATCATAAGCACGCCACTGTCAGCAGTGCCTGCAGTCTCCCAAGTCCCAAAATACTCATGCCTTTCAAGTTGCATTCAAGATGACAAAATTCCATGTAATTTGGTCAATCCCTTGGAATGACAAGAAATGGGGTCTGACCTGTAAGATTATAACATCCTAGGATGCTGTTGGTGAATCAGCATGAACAAGAGCTTTTACTTAACAGCTTATTTAGGATTAGAAGACCTTCAGATCTGACACAGCACACTTCATCCTTTACCCACATTTCTGTCTGTAGGCTGTAACAAAGGCCTTTGTCAGAGGATCTGCATTTGCCCGGTGAAGTGTTAGCTAAACCTGGAGTTGATAAGCCTGGGCCAGTGTGGCAAGGTTATAGAGCACAGTGGGGTTTATCAAAATGCCTTTTCCCTGAGAGTCTAAGGCTGCAGAGACAAGCATTGAGGCAGAGTAAGGGTATACACATGGGTAAAATTGTCTGGGTTATATAGGGATGCTGGCTACCTTCTATAGCTACATGCATTTTAATGATCCTTTTAGACTCTAACATGCTGGTTTTACAAAAATGTGAAAAATTTAACACAAATAAGAGTCCCATAGCCTTGATCCTTTTAATCTTTAGTACGTACTAACATTTTTTTTTTCTTTCCATTGAGGGAATACATAGCCATTCCCCAAAAACGTTTTCTAAGGTCAAGGACACTAAGCCTTAAACCAGTTGCCATCAGGTGGATTCTAACTTACAAGGACACCAAGTGTGTCAGAGTAGAATTGTATTTCAAAGGATTTTTTTTTTTTTTAGTGTTTTATTTCAAAGGATTTTTAATGGCTAATTTTTTAGAAGTAGATGACTAGTACTGTCTTCTAAGGTGCCTCTAGGTAAACTTGAGCAACTAACCTTGTAATTAGCAGCTGAGTATGTTAATTGCTTGCACCAACCACTTCAGGGAACCCAAAAACTAATCTAATGCTAGCTGTTATTATACAATATTGTAATTAAAAGCAATATTCATCTTAGGCATACCATTTATTGATGATAAGATATACACAGCACACTGTGCTATGACATTTCAAAATTCTCTTGTCATCTTTACAACAAGCTTAGTTTATAGTTTAGGAAACTGATATTCAGGAGTGGTTTAAAGAATGTGCCCAAAGTCACTCAGCTAATAAATGGAGAAGATGGGGTTCTAGCACAGATCTGCAGAACTCTGAAGTTTGAGCAGGATTTTAAGATTATCTTCACCTGCTGAGACCAATTTCCTCAGTCGTTAAGGAATCATTAATTTTCCATGGGTCTGGGTCAGAGTCTACTGTTTTTTAGCTTTACCAATTAGTTTCCCAAGCAAAGGTGAACAGGACCCTAAGTGTGTGTGTGCTTGAGGTGGTAAGCTCGATTCTGACTCAATTGTTACATGTGAATAAAAAGTTCAGCGTGTTAATGTATTTCCTGATAAAAATGAATTCTCAATTAAATTATTTCCTAATGAAAACAAATGCATCCTTCTAGTTCATTGTATGTCCCATTGTTTTCAAGCTTCCGTGAAAAGTTAATATAACTCATTCGCCATTTCAAGAGATGGGAAGCCTTCAATACATTTGAGATATTAAAATATTATAGTATAATTCTTTGAATTTTTGAAATCTCCCTTTTTTTTAAGTTTTCAGAGGTAAGTTTGGGTGATTAAAATCTGTTATATTTTTATTAATATTATTATTATTGAATGAAAAGGACTTAAACATTTTTGAAATAGTCCTTCTCATACCATCCTAATAAATATTTGGGGCAAAACATCAAAGATGTAACTGGATTGGCAGGACTCACTTAAAAACCAAATCCACCACCACTGAGTCAATTCTGATTCATACAGACCTAGAGGACCAAGAAAAAGTGCCCTATAGGGTTTCCTATGCAGACTGCTTTCCCACAGAGCAGCTGGTGGGTTCAAACCACTGTCTTTTGGTTAACAGTTGAGCGTTTAATCACTGTGACAGCAGGGTTCCACAGATATGGAAAAGGCAATCAGTCAAGCATGTTGTTAGTTAGGAATCTGCTATCCTACAAAATAATGATGAGGACTGAGAAAAGGGCAAACTTCCTTAAGACTAAAGTCGATGAGTCAATCAATCCATTAAAAATCTTATCCAGGAGCTCCAGAACTCAAGAGATCCACAAAAACACATTTCCTTCAAACTATTACTTCAAGGAAAATATTTACAAACCTATAAAGATATATCAGCCACTGGCCTCGGTCAGCTGATGAAAAAGGGTATCAGAATTATCATCTGCAGAGCTGGCAAATGACCGCCTGATACTCAAAAAGTGAACATTTTTTTCAGCATGTCCATTTCAGTAGATGAGGTCATTTATTTGAATATGATGGAGGGAAGGGTGATGGTGGAAAAAAAAAATTGAAGAAATGAAGAGCAATCAATCTGACAGAAAGATACGGTCTTGATTTTATTTTAAGTCTCTTCTTGCCCTAAACTCATGAAATCTACATTGTAATCTCATTTTGGAGTCCTGGAATGGTGCTGTAGGACTGCTAACCACAAAGATGGCAGTTCAAACCCACCAGATTCTCCTTGGGTCGCTATGAGTCGGAACCAATTCTATGAAACTTAAAACAACAATCTCAATTTGGTCATTAACTTGCTAAAAGACGTTGGACAACTCAGTACTCTTCCAGTTCTTCAGAGTTCTTCTGTTATTCTTTGCATTTGGTTTGAGGCCTATGAGCCTCATCAAAATCAAGCTATTATGCTACCAGTGTAAGAAGTCTATTATCTCTGAAAGGAAACTCACCTGCTCTGAAAGTCCTTCTCCATAGCGAAGCAGTCACAAAATGTTCACAGTTGTTGTCAAATACGTTGTATGCCACCTCATGTCCAAGAACAAACTCTGATTGTTGCATGATTTCTTCCACAGGAAGAGGGGGGTATGTTTCATCATATTTATTGTGTATTCTGTATGTGTCATTTCCCAAGACATCCTTCAAGGGTTGCATCTTCACCAGGGCCTTTGGGCTGAAGACAGACTTGGCACTTATAAATGGCACAGGCATGCCACCTGCTGTAAGGAGAATTCTGGTTAGTAAGACACAGTGGCCCATCCCAGGGAATTCCATGTCATCTAAAAGTGTCAGCATATCTAAAGCCAAAACTCAGTTCCTAAGTTTTCATCCAACCTGAAGCCACTTAATCTTGCTAACCTTAAGGACTCATTTTATAACATCAATAACACTCAATACTGCGTAAGAAAGGATATAAGAAAAAGCTTGTTGCAATTTTATGATCTCCTTATTGAACAATTTGGGTGAAAACACTCTAATCATTTTTGGGGAAACAGTTTACTATTGACTGGTGTTATTATTAGAGATCTTGGTATATCTTTGTAAAAGAGTACAGATAATGTTAACCCATTACTTAAAAGGATTCCATGTGGTGTCAGAGTAGAACTGCCGTGCAAGGGGCTTTCCATGGCTGTAATCTTACACAAGTAGATCACCAGGCCTTTCTCTTGTGGTACAACTTGGTGAATTTGAACCTTAAAGCTTTCAATTAACAGCCAAGCATAAATTGTTAAGATTATTGCCCACTTTTTCTAAAAAGCACGCTCTTTATCAGTATGTGAACCCTTCCAAACTAATAGGGGCTACTCAGTAGTGCATTACCATCAGTAGGCTCTTCCTGATACAGACTAAACTCCACTTTTCACACTTACTCATTCCATGCTGTGGCTGCTGATCTCCTCTTATAAAACCTGAATGGTACCCCAACCTTACAAGATGCCATTTGGAGTCAGACTGGGGCCCTACTTTTCTCTTATCAATTCCTTTACTAAACAGTGAAATCCTAACCCTGAACCTTAACCTAGTAGGTACTGTTCATCAGATGTGGGCCCATGCTTTGCCCTATAGACCTATTACAATGCCCATTTCCCATGACCCCATCTTAGCTGCCTTTATTGGTGAACATTTGCCTAAACTGACAGGAACCCCTGGTCCCTGGCCTGCCACTGTCAGTATCTGACGCTGGGCGGACAGTTCCTCTGTGGGCAGGTCTAGTGCTAGGCTCAGGTCCCTCTCCAATTGCCCACAACCGCCACTCCTATTCATATTCAGGTGAATCACAAGAGGAAGAGTCTCTAAACAACCAGTGTTTAGAGATTTTGCTTATAATCATGACTCAAAGCAAACTGTCTTTTCTATTACTCAGTTTCATGCCCTCCGAGCTCCTTCTCAGTCTCCAGTTACAATCCTACACAATCAAAGTTCCAACACATTAAAAATTCTTAGAGGATCCATACCCTATTTAGAACTACTACATTTGGTTATTGTCGTCATCATCACTGCTCTTTAAACTTTTCTGACTAGCCCAATGCCATCAGTTTACAGATGAGGACAGTGAAGCTTAGAAGGGTAAAATGGCTAGTGAAAGATTATACAAACAGATAATATAAGCAAGGACAGAATTTTGATCTCCAGGACCATAGCTCAGTGCCTACACCACATGAATATGAAGTTTAACACATACGAAAATAAGGAAAAAAGCACCAAACGCCAGATGGGAAAGTTGCAGAGATAGCATAGTTTATTTGTCAAGTGTTAATCACTAGACCTTCCAGAAACTAACAGCTCTGAATTTTAAATGCCATTTTATTTGCCCTTTCCATTTACAATATTGTAGCACAAAAGACAAATATCTCAAATGCTGCAAAAACCATTTCATTAAAAATTCTCCTAGACTTAGACCCATATAAACGTCTCTTTAAAGGTAGCTTGAGGAAATAAAACCCTAGGTTATGTGCTCTCTGTATATATTTTTCCTAATAAGTAAATTTGTGCTTACGTCGAAACATTTAAATAAGATAAGCATAAATGTGGAAACAGAAATCACTCATTACCCTTCCATTCAGAAACAACTACTATGATGATTTTATGTGTTTTTATTATATTATCAACACATGTATTATCAACACATGGTAAATGTGTATATATATGTACATGAGGAGGCCTCAAAAAGTTTGTGGAAAAATGGAATGAAAAGATAATGAAATCTTTCCATGAATATTTTGAAGCTCCTTCATATATTCATGTGTGGGTGTGTAGAACTATGGGATAAACATTGGAATGCAAGGTCAGCTGTTCCTCGGAAGCCCTATATAGGGTCACTATGAGTTGGAACCAACTCAATGGCACTTAGCAAGAATATACATATATATAGAGAGAGAGACAGACAGAGAAAATGAGAGAAAGAGACAGAGAGCCCTGGTGTGGT